TCCTGGTGACATGGTGACACGGAGCTGTGCAGGTGCCCCAGTGCCGGGTACGGAGTCAGGATGACCGTGAGCGGACCCGCGGTTCCCTTCCCAGCGCACTCGGGCGGTGAGGACATGGGTTCGCTTGAGACCTGACAAAGGGACACCTCTCGAAAGAGGTTTGGGTGCTTTGTTTGTTCGTTTTCCCTTTCGTGCATGCATTTATTTTGATTTTGCCTGGCCAGGTGGTGCATCGGGGCACTCGAACGCTCAGCAGGAGCTGTGAGGCTGGGTCCAGCTGGGGCTCGGAGGCATTGCAGTGAGGTCCTGCTGCTCCCTCTGCGAAAGATTTGCTTGGCAAAAAAATTTCTTACCGCTTGCCAAGAGGAAACCTCACCAGACAAGCATCCGTCTTCCACCAACTTGCGTGGTCTTTTGTGTGTAAATTATAATATTTTAGACCCACATGGCTCTGACTGAAAAACCGCAGAAGGACGTAAGCTGCCCAGGGTAGAGCTTCAGCGCAGAAATCGGGTGGTCTGGTTCTTCACTGGGTGTTTCTCTCTGAGATCCAGGGTCCGAGTCAGGCTCTGCGGGTGACAGGGGTGACCTCGGGGGCAGAGGCACTGCTAGGTGACCTTGCACAAAGTCACCTCAGCCAAGTGTCCGGAGCTCCAGCAGGTGAGAACGATCGGTATTGATGGGCTGCAGCTCTAGAGCTGCCTCCTCAGACACCTCCTTGCTCTGGGTGGGTGGTGGAGGGAGCATCTCGGCACAAACACTGTCCCTCTCGCCTCTCTGTTGGCTGGAACCTCAGGCGGAGTGGGTGCATGAGGTGTCTGAGCCTCAGCAGCGTCTTAGAGCCATCGACAAACCAGAAATAGAACGGTCTCGTACTAGATTATCCACTTAGAGAGGCCTACAGCTGCGTGGCTGCCCTCCCAGCCTGCAGGACCGATTGTAAATCCACTAAAAATAGATCTTTATTTAACACCACTCTTACACGTGCTCCCTGTCAAAATGCTTTTAATTTTCCTCTCTGACGTGCTATCGTATTTTGTATTCCTCTCGATGTTTCTGAGAATCATCGGCAAAAGCACTTTCTGGTGTCGCTGCTCCTCCGGAGCCAACGCTTGGTGGGGTGAGCCTCGGCCGGTTCCTGTGAGCACCCATAGCCACAGGACAGTTCAACGAGTGCTGCCAGAGCCCGGTGTCTAGTGCCTTAATTGGGGCTGATGGAAGCTTCTGTAATTAGGGGCATAGCAACCCTTGGCTCTGTGTTATAAATAGCGGGGAGGAAAACCCTCTTTTTGGGGGGAAAGGAGCAGCTGATGGTGATGATGATGGGAGGCTGCCGTGGCCGGGCAGGGGGAGGCTGGGGAGGGACAAAGGGCCGGGGCCGGCGCTGGAGCTGGGGCTTTGGCGGCTGGAGCTGCAGGATCTCCTCTTCCCCAGTTCCTCCGTGGAGCAGTCTGGATGCTTCATATCGCTGCTGATTGGAAATTGTTCCCCTGCGCGTGGATTCCTTTATGTAAATGCTTGCTCCCGCTCAGGTTTGGGCTGTGTTTTGCTTGCCACGGCTGCCACTGGAGAGCGGTGAAGAATTTCCCTATTTTTCGGCACAGGTGTAATCCATTTTGGGGATCTTGTGCTTGGCTCTGGCATGACGCATGTCCCCTGGTCGGCTGTCCGCTCCCCTGGAGGGACAGGGGTGACAGTTCACAAGGATGGCACAGAAACGGTGTAACCTATGGGGGGTTTGGTTAGCGGAGGGAAAAGTGTGATGGAGCTGTATTAACTTGGAGTTAAAATTGTTTCCTCTTTGAATATCACTTTCTTTGGTCTTTTCTTTGAGCTCCGTGTGTTTTTGTGGTGTTTTGTCTCAGTTACGTTGTTCTCAAGCTCTCGTCCCATCCCAGGTTGGCACCACCCACCGTTGTGATCTTCAAGCATCGGAAAAACACCCGTCGGGTGTCACAAAGTGTAGCTGAAGTGCAGAGCTCCAGCGGGTTGGGTTTGTCCTCCCTTACAGAGGTTAGTGGTGGGATGGAGATGCAAGTGGTGCCCTGCACAACATTTTGGGGTTTTTTTTTGCTCCTGTTGAGCCACCCCAGAAGGCAGGCAGCGGGCTGTGCGTCGCCAGGCTGCTGCGGTGACTCAGTTTGAGACGATGCCGAGAAAAGTGGGACCTTTGGGTTCCTCCGCGGGCTTCTCGCACAAGTCAAACCGAAAGACAGCATCGCGTCACTGACTGCTAAGCGCAGTGAGATGAAATCAGGCCTGTGCGTCGCTGTGGCTGTTACCTTAGGGGAATTCAGCAAAAGGTTCCCGAGTGCGTACCCGTCGCTGCTTTTTGGGGGTGTTTCGGGCCATGTCCTGTTCCCGTCTCTCAGCCTTTTGGCTCGCTCAGACCCAGAGCTCTGAGCTCAGCGTCTCCCGCGTTGCGGGAGCGGCACTGTCGGCTCGGGTGGAAGGCGCTGGCGGCAGCATGTTCAGCAGCTGTGGGGTGATCTGCTCCCAGAGAAACATTGCGGTTTACATCTACTGCAGCTTATTTTGGTTCTTTGTTTCCTGTTTATGTGGGTAATCTTCTTATCCACAGAAATGTCCAGTCCTCTTTTTGAATCCTTAAAGTTCTTGCTTCTAGACATTTTGGAGCAGTAAGTTCCAGAGGCTTTAAAAAGAAAATAAAAAGTAATGAGCTCTTCTTCACATATAAGCGGCAATTCTGTTCTTCGCATAGCCTATGAAAGGATGAGTTGTTACTTATTTTATTGCCTTTTTAATATCTGATTTTACTCATTTTCTTTCAAAGGCGAGCAGTCCAAATCTAGTGTCTCTACCCAGAACTTTTTTCCACATCCCTTGCTGTTTTTCTTTTCTGAAATCTGTCCTCCTCTGACAAGAGTTCTGGCTCCTACCCTGGGACCCTCCTGGAGATGGCGTGCGGGTGAAATGAAGGCAGTAATCCAAGGAAGGTTTGCTGTAGTTGTATGGGAATATTTGTGTTGCCAGAAGAATACTGGATGCTTTCTGGAGAGGTGGGGAGGTGCACGGCAGGGAGAACATTTTACTTCGTTAAAGGTCACTGACCACCGTACGGTGGCAGCGGGTCGGTCCGATGTGTATCGGAGTCTTTCGTGCTGTGGGGTCAGCACCAAATTCTGCTGCTTTTCCTCTCCTTTATGTTTGTGTTTCAGTTCATTAGGGACCAGCCTTTTGTGATGCTTACCACGACTGAATCTCGAGCTAGCCTGAAATTTTTCGCACGCGTCTTTTGTAGATGAATAAAGTTTTAAGAGATGTGTTATTGGATCTGAACCGCGGCTGATGGAGTGGTTCTGTGAATGCAGGAGCAAATTCTGTAATGACACGTTGTCTTTCTGTCTTTTCAGGTGCTGGAAAATTATTCTGATGCTCCTATGACCCCAAAACAGATTCTGCAGGTCATCGAGGCGGAAGGACTGAAGGAAATGAGGTTAGTATTGATGTCTTGTCCAAAACACAGAGAGGGGCGTGGGGGAGGCTGCGTACGAAGGCTTGTGCTGCTTCGTGCAATTCTGCCTCATCTCCAGCCCACTTTTCTTCTTCCTTTTTTCTCTTTCCAGCTTGGTAATTTCAGATGACAGGATAGACATTTATATACAGGTTGTGTTTTTTTGGGGTTTTTCTTCTTCTTTGACAATAACTGGAGTTATTGGATTTTTTTTGATAACACAGAGTCTCCTTCATCCATCTATTGTGAAATGAACACCTGTTGCAGATCAGGCTCCTGCATTCTGTCATACTTACGGCTGGCTGGTATGGTTCTCTCCTGAGTGGCTCCCAGCAGTTTCTGCTGTTGTCAGTCGAGCTTGAGAAGAGGTTAAGTTTTGTCTCCTCCTATGCTTTATTTCTAGAGCAGACGTTACGTTTTAGGAGACTCAAAAAAATCTTCTGTATTTTATGTTGCTATCCTGGCTTCTGCTGAGGTTTTTGAGCCCCGTGATAGCACGGCTCACGCTGTTGTGGCTCTTGCCGTTGTCCGGAGGAGATGCCCGTTGCAGTGGGGGGTTCA